AACAACTTCCCTTATTCAAGACCTGCATTATTTCATGTTTGAGGGTTTTTCTCCAGCCCCCCTTACAGGTGGGGTGATGGTGAGAATGGCCCCTAGTACCTCCTTTCCCTTCCTTCACCTTTCTCTGTCACCTTCCCTGCTCTGCTTCAGACTTCTTGGTTGTCAGTCTCACATCCAGTGATTGTTTCGGTTTCTGTTCCCTTTCTAAGTGCACAAGGGGTCCAAACCCCAACAAACCCTTTCTTTACCTTCTCTTTGAGGGTGTATGGAAGGGACTGAAATTGTGGAGGGGGAAGGTATGAGACACATCAATAAAATGGAAACCACCAAGGTGAAAAAAAAAGACCTAAATAGCATCTTTATCTGATGGTTGTCTTGAAATTTTCTAATCACTAAGCCCAGCAACTACAGAAAACACATTCAATTGCACATAACACATTCAACAAGAGACATTAAATGCATATTAAATAGTAAATATTGGGATTTTAAAATTTTTATTATTTTTTTTTGTGTGTGTATCGTAAAATCGGATCTGACTGGTACAGGCAATTGCCCCTCCTTCTCCAGCAGAGCATCTGGCAGATTTGAACTATGTACCCATGGGATTGCAGTACAGATTCTTGCCACTAGGCCACCAGAGCTCCCTAAATCTTGGGATCTTGTAGCATGTTTTCTCTTACTATAATTGAATTAAATTATGATTCAATAGTACATTCCAGTATATGAAAATTATTATCAAATAATCAAGCTTGAAAAGGAAATCATAAAGTAAAATGAAAACTCAAAAAAGGAAAAATTTGTTAGATACAACTAAAGTGGGTTTTCTTTTGGTTTGTTTGTTTTTTTCAAGTTTTATCATTTTTTTGTGAGTGTACCATCAAATCAGATCTGACTGGTACAGGAGATTGCCCCTCCGCCTCCAGTAGAGCATCTGGTGGATTTGAACTGCGTACCTCTGGGATTGCAGTACAGCTTCTTGCCACTAGGCCACCAGAACTCCCTTACAATTAAAATATTTTTAGAGACATTGTTGTTGTGTGCCGTGGAGTTGGAACCAACTCATAACTAACCCTCCAGCAGGTTTTCAGAGGCAGTGAATCACATGGGAGATTCCACATCCTTTTTTCAAGGAGCAGCTGATGGATTTGAATCTCTTGTCTTTGGGTTCGCAGTGTAGCTCCTTACAACTAAGCCATGAGAACTGTTAGCTTACAGACATACACAGCCTTAAATAAATGTGGTTGTTGCTGTTAGGTACCTTCAAGTATGACTCACAGCATCCCTTACGAACAACAGATTTAAATCCTGTACTACCCTGTGCCATCCTCACAAGCTCTGACACACTCAAGCCCATTGCCACAGTCACTTTGTCAATTCTCTTGCTTGAGGGTCTTGCGGTCCTTTGCAGTTCCTCCATCTTTCCAAGCACAATGTCCATCTGCAAGAAATAACGCCTCCTGGCAACATGCCCAAAGTATGGGAGACAAAGCTTCACTGTCTTTGCCTCCACTCTGGCTGCACCTTCTCCAAAACATATGTGTCTTTGCCTCCACCCTGGCTGCACCATCTCTAAAACATATGTCTGTTCTTTTGGTAGTGTGTTTATTGAGTACTCTTCCCCAACATCACAGATCAAAGGGATCAATTCTTTTTTGTGTCATCCTTATTCACCGTTAAGTTTTCAGATGCATAACAAGTAATAAAAAAAGGTCATGGCCTAAATCAGGGGCACTTTAGTCCTCAAACTGAAATCACTGCTCCTCAATAATTTGGACAACTCCTTGACTACAGATTTTTAATATAACCTTTCTATCTACTGCCTTCCATTTTAGGATTATATCCTCTTTGTGGGATACAAACCCCATCCTACTAGAAGTTACTATCCAAGTTGCCACATAGGGTTTGGTTTATACTACTGAGATACAATATAAAAGAATGTTCCTGAGAAACTCAATGCTTGTTCCCTTGGAGGACTGAATCTAACCTGTTAACAGACCGACCACCTCTGCCTGCTGGTTCTGGGACCACAGATCACCATCTCTGTGACCACATACATCAGCCTACAGCATCCACAATTACACGTGCTATTTCCCTGATAGTTTCTGAGTTTCTTTGAAACCTTCAAGGAACTGCAGAACCCAAAGACACAGATAAGAGTGGGAGGACTGGGGAGGAATATAATTAAATTCAGATAAGACAGAGTGGCACAACAATTTAGATGCTTGGAATATTGTTAACTAGCCTGACAGGAAACGATGAAAATATCTGACAGACAGCATTCTACCCAAAAGAACAGATGAAAGAGTTATCTTTCCCCACTATACAGCTAACAGATTCAATACTGGTACCTCCTTTGTCACAGACGTCGTGGTCTCATCCCTACACAAGACCCCACGAGTATTCTGCTCTATTCCTTTGCTTTGGGAAAAAAAACACAAGGCTCCATGAATTGATGGAATACCAACTGACATATTTCAGAAAAAAAGATCCTACCCAAGATAACCTCTTGAGGTTGTGCCAAGAAATCTGGAGAACAGTTATCTGGCCAATTGACTGGAAGAGATCTGTATTAATTCTCATTCTAAAGAAAGGTGAAACTTTCTTTGACAAAGTGTGGTAATTATCAAATAATGTTTGTAATACCACACACAAACAAAATCTTGCTGAACATTACAAGCTGGATTTAGAAGAGATTGTGGCACTAGGGACATCACTGCCAATGTCAGATGGACCTTGGCTAAAAGAAGACAGTAGGAGAAAAATGTCTGTGTTTCACTGACTATGCAAAGACATTTGACTGTGCGGATCACAAGAATTTGTAGCTAACCTTCAGAAGAGTGAGAATCCCAGAATATCCAAAGTGTATATGCGAAAGCTACACCTAGATTAGAAGAGATGAGTCAGAACAGGTCAAGGAAACATTGCATGGCTCAAAATCAGGAAAAGAATGTGTCAGAGATGCATGCCATCTCCACACCTTTTCACTCTATAGGCAGAAAAGATCATTCAGGAGGCTGCTTTTTATGACGAGGAATGTGGCATCATAATTGGAGATGATTCATCAATAAACTGTTATGCATATGACATAACCTTGCTCACTGAAACTGAAGAGGATCTAAAGGATCTGCTGCAGAAGGATTGAATGCAACATCAAGAAAACAAAGATTGTCACCATTGGGCAACTGGTAGCACCATGATTGATGGAGAAGAGATCAGACTGTTAACAATTCCAGCTTGCTCAGATCCACAATCAAAACTTGGAACCAGCAGCCAGGAAATCAAGACTAACTGGATTAGGAAAGTCTGCTGTCAAGGACCTCTCCAGAGTGCTAAATAGCAAAGGTATCAGTCTAAAGTGTACCTGATCCAAGCCATGGTCTTTGCAATTACTTGCTATGTATCAGATGGACAATGAACAATGATGACAGAAGAACTAATGCCTTTGAGATATGGTATGAAGAGTACTGGATATACAATGGACTGCCAAGAGAACAAACAGGTCTGTCCTGGAGAGGGAGAAATCAGGTTGTTCTCTTGAGGCAAGGATTTTGAAGCACCGTCCCACATACACTGGGCATGTTGCCAGGAAGGACCAGTCCTTGGAGAAGGACGTCAAGTTTGGAATGGTGAAGGGACAATGCCAGAGTAAAACCTAAATGAGATGGATTGACACAGTGACTGGAGTAATAGAAGCAGGTTTATTGTAAAGAGTGAGATTGGCTCAGAATAGGATAGGTTTCAGAGCTACTGTGCATAGGGTCACCATGAGTCACAGACTTGAGGCATACAACATCTGGTGGCCAAGTAAATAAGGCTGTTAAAAGGGAGAAAGATGGGCATTCTCCTGAAGGTAATGTACAATCTCCAAAAATCCACTGGACAATCAGCTACGAGATGGTTGTGACTCAAGAGCAATGACTTTTTCTAGTTTTACCAACTAAATCTGACTCCTGAGATTCAACTATCTGCAAACTTCTCAAATTTATTTGGTTCCTCAATTAAAACAGCAGTGCAGATGGGAGTTAAACATGTACACACATAGAAAATATAGTTAGGGTTATCAAACACATGATATATTTAATTTCATAAATTATATGACTGTAAGAAAAATATTTCAAGTATGAAAACTTACAGATTTAATATCCTAGTCTTTGCAATTATATGCTTACTACAAAAAAAGCCCCCAATGCAACCTGTTCCACTTATTGGACTTCTAATAAATTTGAATATATTTTAACATGTACACGAAAGACGTAGCTACTTTGTACATGGATATAAGTGTACCTTTGTCGAGCACTTTCGGCTGCCTGGTGGGCTGTTTATGTTATTTCTACTCCCGCCCCCCAATCACCCTGAGAGGGAAGTATTACATTTACAAATCAGGAGGATCTGTGGTTCATTGTTGGAGCCAGACTCAAGCCCAGAAAGCTCTAAAGCCTGTGGTTTGAGGAGAGTTCCTAATGACGTGCTAGACTGTCACACCTGAGGGGGCTGCTGACAACCTGGTGCCCCCGAGGCCAGATCTGCTGCCCACCGCGGGTCACGTCCTCCAAACCCCAACAGAAACCAATCCCCTGCATCATCTCATCCCGGTTCCCTCTCCCTGAGGCTCCTTCCCGGTCTAGACTCGCAACAGGAAGGAGCCCTTTTCCCTTCCACTGGGGGAAGGGAGACAGACAGCGGGCCTGGGACTCTCTGGGGCACAAAGGCTCAGAATCTCGGATTTCACGTACCCGCAGCCACTCACTGAACGTCAAGACCTCAGTTCAGACAAGAGCCACAATCTGAAGAGACTCTCCGAGTTTCTGGATGCCAGGGGCGAGTGCCAGCCTGATTCACCGCTGTTCCAGGGAGCCAGAGGGGTCAGAGACCAAAGTCCCAAAATCCCAGATAAAAGCACTCACACCTCACTTCGCTTGGAAGCACTTCCGGGAGCAGCTGGGCGGGCCACCAAGGACGGTGGGCGGGATGGGGCCGGGCCACGGAAATGAGGCCAAGGCTCAGAATGGCTGCCAGAGCGCCATCCCCACGTCCACATCCTACTTGTCCACTTATGGGCATGCAGTGTCGTTTTTTGTTATTTGCCCTCAAGACAAGGGAGGCTCAAAAGAAACCAATGAACAAAAGATCCGAACCTGGCCCAGTTTCTGTGATATTCTGTCTCCAAAATACCTGACCCAATTGATATGATCACCTTTTCATATTGTTTATATTCCTCCCATAAAAAACTTTTAACTTGTTAGTTAAATTCGTGTCTTCTAGGCTGCAACAGTTCCATGATGCATCTTCAAGGATATGAACACGTATGGCTAAGCACAACTGATAACAGTGCATCTAAATTCCGAAATCAAGCTCCACAATAGTCTACAGTGTTTCCTACTGCCAAAGGGGCCCTTTAGAGTAGTGAGAGAAGATCTTCACCCTGAAACCTACAGCTTCCCTTTTCAGCAGGAAGTAGCTAAGAGAATATGTTGTCCCCTCTTCCTTATGAATCAGGGTGAAATCTCTCTCAAAGAGGAGTGATAGGGAACACTGACAAAGATTAAATCAGGACAGGTTTTGACAAGCACTGTGGCAATGGGACAATTAAAACAGACTTTCAAGGGGAAAAAAGAGGGGGGAGGTAGAGAAAATAGTACAACAATGAATGAATGGAAATCCAAAATCTCTGTAAATGTTCATTGAAACACATAAAATAAAAAAAGGAAAAAAAGAAAACTTTTCAAGCTCAATGCCCTTCGCCTGGTAGAACTTCTCCTAGCAAAATGCTTGAAGTATCTAAGAGGAAGCGTCACCATTCTTGCTTGCAAGGAGCACCCTGGTCATCATTCTTCAAGACATGTTTATTCTTTTTTTTTTTTTACGTTGGTTTTTTGTATTGTTTTGTATTTTATGCTCACATTATTTTCTCACTAGTAATAAACAAGTACAATTGGCAAGACTTTCATAAAAGAATATAATCCTTTAAGGTCACATATTTAACCCAAAACCATTACAGTATAGTTCACTCTGACTCATAAGTAGCCTAAAGGACAGAGTAGAACTGCCCTGTAGATTTTCTAAGACCCTTGATAGGAACAAATTGTTCTTTCTCCTTGCAAAGCAGGTGGTCTGAAGTATTGATATTTCAGTTAGGAAAGACATGTTTATTCTGTTGAGAGTCCTTTCAGTACTCTTCCCCAACCACAACTCAAAGAGATTAATTCTTCTTTCATCCTTAATCACTGTCAAACCTTCAGAAGCATAGCAAGTAATTGAAAATACCATGGCTTGCATTTGGCAAACCTTAAACTTTAAACGTTGACGTCCTTATTCTTGGAGAAGTTTCTGACAGATATGCCAATGCAATAGATCTGTTATTTCTTGACTATGGGAGCCAAACAAATATATATCTCTTCCAGTCAGTTGGCAAAGTGGTTGTTCTCAGATTTCCCGGCACAACTTGGTGAGCACATCCAGGGGAACATAGCTGAAATATGTCAATTGGTATACCATCTATTCCTGGGGCCTTATTTTTTGCTAATTCTCTCAAAGCAGATTGAACTTCTTCCTTCACCACCATAGGCTCTTGCTCATATGTTGTTTCATTAAATTCTTCTGTGCCTGCCAATTCCTTTTGATACAATGACTCAGTATATTCCTTCCATCTTCTTTTAATACCTCCTGGATAATTTAATATTCTGCCTAAAGCTGGAGATAGAATGACTGAATTTTGCCCAATTAATGACTTATTCACTGCAAATACGTTTTTAAAGACACATAAACATAGATTATACACATGGATTTCACCTGATGGGATGCATAGGAATCAGATCGATTACATCTGTGGAAAAAACCGCTGGAGAAGCTCAATATCAGCTGTGAAAACTAGGCCAGCAGCTGATTGTGGAACAGACCACCAACTACTCGTATGCAAGTTCAAGCTGAAGCTGAGGAAAATTAAACCAAATACACAGGAGCCAAAATATGACTTTAAATTCATACCACCTGAAATTCAGAATAAGCTCAGGAACAGGTTTGAGCCTTGAACAGTAATGAGCGAAGACCAGATGAGTTGTGGGAGGATGTTAAATGTATCATCCAGGAAGAGTGCAGGCGGTCATTACAAAGATAGAAGAGGAGGAAAAGACCAAAATGGATGTCAGAAGAAACTCTGAAGATTGCACTGGAACGTAGAGAAGCCAAAGCACAAGGAAGAATCCAAGACACTAAAGACCTGAACAGAAGATTCCAAAAGGCAGCACGAAATGACAAAGCAAAATACTACAATGAAATGTGCGAGGAGCTAGAGTTGGAAAATCAAAAGGGCCGAACTCGTTCAGCATTTCTTAAGCTCAAGGAACTGAAGAGCAAATTCAAAACTCGAGTTCCTACAATCAAGGATGCTTTAGGCAGAATGTTAAATGATCCAGGAGGTATCAAAAGAAGATGGAAGGAATATACTGAGTCAATGTACCGAAAGGAATTGGCAGATACAGAAGCATTTAATGAAATAGCATTTGAGCCAGATCCTATGGTGATGAAGGCAGAAGTTCAAACTGCTCTGAAGGAAATAACAAAAAATAAGGCCCCCGGAAAAGATGGTATACCAATTGACATATTTAAGCTAACAGATGCTGCCGTGGATGTGCTCACCAAGCTGTGCCAAGAAATCTGGAGAACCACTTCGCCAACTGACTGGAAGAGGTCAATGTTTGTTCCCATCCCAGAGAAGGGCGACCCAACTGAGTGTGGAAACTACAGAACAATATCATTGATTTCACATGCAAGCAAGATTCTACTGAAGATTATCCAAAAACGATTGGAACAACACATCAGCAGAGAACTGCCAGAAGTCCAGGCGGGGTTTAGAAGGGGTCGTGGTACTAGGGATATTGTAGCTGATGTTAGATGGATCTTAGCTGAAAGCGGAGAATACCCGAAGAATGTCTATCTGTGTTTCATTGATGATGCAAAGGCGTTTGACTGCGTGGATCATAACAAACTGTGGCTGACTCTGAGAAGAATGGGAATCCCAGAACATTTAATCATGCTAATGCGAAACCTATACTTGGACCAAGAGGCAGTCATCAGAACAGAACAGGGCAACACTGCATGGTTCAAAATTGGGAAGGCTGTACGTCAGGGATGTGTCCTGTCTACATACCTTTTCAACCTGTATGCAGAGCAGATTATCCGAGAGGTGGGACTCTATGAGGAGAGGCATGGCGTTAGGATTGGTGGACGATCTATCAACAATCTGCGTTATGCAGATGACACAGCCTTGCTCGCTGAAACTGAGGAGGACCTCATGCACTTACTGCAGAGGGTCAAGGACTGCAACCTTCAATATGGACTGAGGCTCAATGTCAAGAAGACAAAAATTCTCACCACTGGACCAATCAGTAGCATCAGGATGGATGGCGAAGAGATTGAAATTATTCACAGCTTCAGTTTGCTCGGCTCCACGGTCAACACTCTTGGCACCAGTAGCCAGGAAATCAGAAAACGTATTGCGATGGGAAAGTCTGTGGTTAGGGACCTCTCCAAAATACTCAAGAGCAACAGTGTCTCTCTTGAGACTAAGGTCCGCCTGATACAGGCCATGGTTTTTGCAATCACTTGTTATGCATCAGAGAGTTGGACAATGACTAGGGAGGATAGAAGGAGAATTGACACCTTTGAGCTGTGGTGCTGGAGAAGAGTATTGAATGTACCATGGACTGCCAAGAAAACAAACAGATTCATCTTAGAGAGGGTTAAACCAGGCTGCTCCTTGGAGGCAAGGATTCTGGGGCTTTGTCTGACATACTTTGGACATGTTGTAAGGAGAGACAGGTCTTTAGAGAGGGACATCATGCTGGGTAGAGTAGAGGGACAGCACAGGAGGGGAAGACCCTCTACGAGGTGGATTGATTCAGTGACTGGGGTGCTTGGGATGGGTGTGTCAGAGGCAATGAGATTAGCACAGGATAGAGGACGGTTTAGGGCTGTTGTACATAGGGTCGCTATGAGTCGCAAACGACTCGACGGCACATAACAACAACAACAACAACAAAGCATCCTATAGCAACTCAAAGTTTGAATTAGTTCTTCAGTTCCTTGAGCTTAAGAAATGCCGAACGAGTTCGGCCCTTTTGATTTTCCGACTCTAGCTCCTCGCACATTTCATTGTAGTATTTTGCTTTGTCATTCCGAGCTGCCTTTTGGAATCTTCTGTTCAGCTCTTTAGTGTCTTGAATTCTTCCTTGTGCTTTGGCTTCTCTGCACTCCAGTGCAATCTTCAGAGTTTTTTCTGACATCCATTTTGGTGTTTTCTTCCTCTTCTGTCTTTGTAATGACCACCTGCACTCTTCCTGGATGATACATTTGACATGCTCCCACAACTAATCTGGTCTTCGCTCATTAGTGTTCAAGCCTCAAACCTGTTGCTGAAATGATTCTGAAATTCAGGTGGGATGAAATCAAAGTCATATTTTGGCTCCTGTGGATTAGGTTTAATTTTCCTCACCTTCAGCTTGAACTTGCATATGCGTAATTGGTGGTCTGTTCCACAATCAGCCCCTGGCCTAGATTTCACAGCTAATAATGAGCTTCTCCAGCGTTTGTTTTTTTTTCACAGATGTAATCGATCTGATTCCTATGCATACCATCAGGTGAAATCCATTTGTATAACCTGCGTTTATATTTCTTATAAAACGTATTTGCAATGAATAAGTCACTGATTGTACAAAATTCAATGATTCAATCTCCAGCTTCATTTCTGTCACCAAGCCCACTGTGGAAACTACAGAAAAAGATCATTGATTTCACATGCAAGCAAGATTCTACTGGAGATTATCCAAAAACGATTGGAACATCACATCAGCAGAGAACTGCCAGAGGTCCAGGCTGAGTTTAGAAGGGGTCGTAGTACTAGGGATATTGTGCCTGATGTTAGATGGATTTTAGCTGAAAGCAGGGAATACCAGAAGAATGTCTATCTGTGTTTCATTGATTATGCAAAGGCGTT